TGCGACCTAGGCGTATGCCCGAAATTGAATTCCGAGGTCCCTAGCCCGAGTAATGAATTTTTATTAGAAATTGTTAATCTGAAGTTTTAAAAATTTAAAGAAACTAATTAATGATTGATCCCATGGGTATCGGGCTCACATGTTGGTTCCGGAGCTCGGTACAGGTCCGATATAACATTTAAGACTTGCCGGCAAAATTTGGTGTCAATCCGAGTAGTTTAAAGGTGTATCGGCTCGTTAGAGGAAAATTAAGAACTTGAAGTTCATAAGTTTGATTCAATTGGTTTTAAGGGGTGATTCTTAGATTTAGCGTTGTTTTGGGCGTTCCGAAGGTTCGAGTAGGTCCGTTTCATGATTTCAGACTTTTCAGTATGTTCAGGCGGGGCCCGGGAGCCCCGAGCGTCAATCGGACGAAGCTCAAGTGAAGTTGGAATTTTTAAGAAGTGCTGGAGCATCTGCTTCTATCATAACCGCACCTGCGGTTGGTTGACCGCAGGTGCGGGACCGCAGAAGCGGTACTCCTATCACAGATGCGGCCAAGACAGGTCAGACCATGAACCGCAGAAGCGGCTCCCAAGCCGCAGAAACGGCTCCAAGACCGCAGAAGCGGTCCCAGCCCGCTTGGCCCATTTTCGCAGATGCGGTCTCTTCCTCGCAGAAGCGGGACCGTAGATACGGTCCCTTGACCGCAGATGCGGAAATCGCTGAAGCAGTGAGCTTCATGTAATACGAGTTCTAAGTCATTTTTACCACTTTTCACTCCTCCATTGGCGATTTTGGGAGCTTTTGAGAGAAGACTTCCACCTAACATCTTAGTTTAATACTTGTGTCTTAGGTAGATTAAACACTAGAATTTAGGTAAAATCAAGGGGTTAGAGCAAAACCTAGGGTTTTAATAAAAGTTAGATTTAACCACGAAATTTGTTATGAAATGAATTACAAATTATATTATTGACCCTTAGGTTATAGAGAACAACTTCCTTCAAAAAATTTCGGAAGTCGGCACGTGGGCCCGGGGTCGGATTTTAGGAAACTTGTGTTTAAGGTTGGAAATTGCTTAAATAGCTAGAATACGATCTTGTGAGCTTATATTGACTAGTTCCTATCTCATTTAACTAGTTTTGGATCGTTCAGCTTCAAATTGAGGGTTTGGGCTCGTTCTCAGTATTGGAAGTGCACTTTGGAGCAAGGTGAGTCTCCTTTCTAATCTTGCAAGAGAGAATTGTCCTCATAGGTGTAATAATTGAGTAATTTGCTACTAAATGTGGGGGCCACGTACGCACCAGGTGACAAGAGTCCGTGCGTAGCTACTATTATGTTAATTGTCCAGGTAGTCTAGGACCCGTATCATGCTATTTTCGTGAATGTCTCTATATTTTCTTGCTAATGTGATCACTTAGGATATGCTAGAGACTTGGAAAGGAATATAAGCGAATGTATACACTTGTTGGACACTTGTATGAATTTACTTGGAAATAAATGCGCATTCATGTGTTTTCTTGATATTAATTGATATTTGTGAATCGGGCCGATCGCCTCGGTAGAGATAGATGCATCAATGGTTTGCGCCATTCGACCCTCTGGCAGTGCACAGTTTATTTTCTGTTGGATCGGTTCATCGACCTCGGCATAATGTGCGCATGATATCTACGTGAAATCTCATCCATGGCTTGTTCTGCTAAATATTTGAAATGTAAATGGCTAACTGTAAAATTGTTAAGAACATGATTTATTACCTCTTGCTACAAACTGTTGATTATTTGTGACTCCCATGCTTAGCATAACACTTTATTATATTATTTGACCTTAGTAAGTATCAAGTCGACCTCTCGTCTCTACTTCTTCGAGATTAGACGGGATACTTACGGGGTACATATTATTTATGTACTCATATTACACTTCTGTCCTTAATTGTACAAGACCCGAGGTAGGGTACATCTGGCTATCAGTCTGGTGCGCGCCCCTGATTCATAGTCCGAGACTTCCACGGTGAGCTGCCCCTTCCTATGTCGTTCAGCAGTTTGATGTAGTCTCTCTTTATTTATTTTTGGTTGTCTATTCTATTTCGGACAGTATGATGGATTTATTCTTTTGTATATTCTACTAGTTGCTCATAACTTGTAACACCAGGTCTTGGCACACACATTTTAGACGTTTCTTTTGGGTTGTATAATTTTTATCGAATGTTGCATATTATCACCTATTTTTAATTGCAAATTAAGAAAATGTTATAACTGTTTTGGGTAAGAAAAATAAGAATTTACTAATACTTCCACGTTGGCTTGCCTGATAACGGTGTTGGGCGCCATCACGATCTGTTATGGAAATGGGTCGTGACATTTACATAACAATGACAGTCGATGATGACGGCATCAACAGAAGTTCCTCCTCATACCTTTGAGGATATGCACCAAGAAAAATGATACAGTCAGACCTCTCTATAACAACATCCCTATATAATAACTATTCACTATAAAAACCAAAAAAAATCGAAACCAATTTTAGTATTATGTTATAATATATGTTCTCTATAACAGCACTTCACTATAGCAGCCAAAAAACATCGGAACAAACGAGGCTGTTATAGAGAGGTTTGACTGTATAACAATTTTGGTTAATTGTAGAACTATAGAAAATAATTTTGATTAGAGTACTATTAGGAATGAGCTTGCCCTTTTAATGTTTTTTTAGTTGTAAATTGTAATTATATATTAAAAAAATACCAGTTGCTATGGTTATCCTTAAAATTATCTGAAAATTTTATATATATATACACTAACAATGAACAAATAACCCCCAAAAAAAATCTGATCCTTTTTTTCCAATATTAAAAGACAAAACATGTGCAACTATATATACATCGTACTTCATTAGAATTTTCATTGTAAACTTCTCTTACTTTTCTCTTTTTTTCTCTTTCTTCTTTCCTCTTTTATTATATTATTCTAGTCTTCCAAAATGAATGGAGATGAGACTAATAATGACCAAAAAGAAACTCTTCTTCCAATTCACAGGTCACAAAGTATGAATACATTTATTCACTCAATTTTTTCACTTATGAATTTCTTCACAATTTTAGGACCTTTATCATGTATAATTATTTGCTTATTTGTGAAAATGAATGATGCTCCGGCGACTAGCACAAATATGCTCGGAATTCTTGCTTGGGTTTTCACGTGGTGGTTGTCGGAGGCGGTGCCGATGCCGATAACTTCCATGTCGCCGTTGTTTCTTTTCCCGTTGTTCGGAATTTCGTCGGCCGACGACGTTGCTCATTCTTATATGGATGATGTTATTGCTCTAGGTCTTGGGAGTTTTATACTTGCTCTTGCTGTTGAACATTATAATATACACAGAAGATTGGCCTTAAATGTGAGTAATAATATTCTTCTATTCCTTGTTAAATTTTGTTGTTTTATTTGTGGCTGCAGGGGCGGATTTAGGAGGGCGGAAGGGGCTACCCGAACTTTCTTCGTCGAAAAATTACATTGTATATATAAGGACAAATCTATTTTTTACTTCTATATATTATGTTTTGAAACTTGTTGACATAGCCCAAAAGCATAGCTTAGTGGTCAAGGAGGTCCAAAATATTTGTAAGGTCATATGTTCAATTCCCACTAACTATAATCTTTTTTTTTAATCCCGTATTGAAAATTCTGCCTCCGTCACTGAATTTTGGGTGTCGCGAAATTGGAATATGGAAGAAATTTATCCGAATCCTATACACCAAATTATACTAATTCACTATAGTCGAGTGATAAATTAAAATAAAGTATATATTATAAATTAAGGTATTAATTAATAAGCCTTAAAAAATATATGTCACACACTTATTGTTCAAGCTAGTTTCGGTCCTTATATTTAGTTATTTATTTATTCAACTGCTACAAAAAATTGTTAAAGAAATTAACATTTAGGAGTACTTCTTACCATCAAATTAATTCCTCTTTAACCGATTTCTTCCTATTTATTATTCCAATATATGAATATAAATGATATAGCTATCTTTACTAGATTTCAGCAATTATCTGTTGTTGGTTTTTCTCTTTTTGACATTTTACCTTTATTAATCATTTTCGATGTCAATATCTAATTTGGCCTATTATTTTCTTTATATAAAGATTAACTATGTACGCTACTATAAGCAGAGGCGAGTTTTATTTGTTAACTTCAACCTTTAAATTTTTATTCTAAACATATTATATTTTTTTTAAATTATGCGTTCCTAATTAAATATGTACATATAACTTTTAATATTGTCCACATAAAATACCGAGTTTAATGAATATGGTGAATGATGACACTTTTCTAGCTAGTAGTATAGTTGAATTATTGTTGACAAAAATTGACGTGCATGGGTCATGCAGATAACCAGTGGCGGAGCCACATTCAACGAAGGTGTATCAATTTGATACCTCTCCGCTGAAAAAACACTGTATTGCGAGATAACTTTTTTTATTTTATGCATATATACTATACATTAATTCCCCATAATTTTTTGGTGTCTCTAATTTTTTATATTTTGACATCTCTCGATGAAAATTCTGGCTCTGTCACTGCAGATAACACTATTAGGGGTCGTTTGGTAGGGCGTATAAGAATAATGCTAAATAAGGTGTATTAGTAATGCAGGGGTTAGTAATGCAAACATTAGTTATACAGAGATTATTTCTTATGCATTGTTTGGTGTGGTGTATTAAAAATTAAAATGCATTGCATAATTTTTAAGAAATTTAATTGTTTACAAAAATGCCCTCCATATTCTTTAACTTAAGAGACTTTAAGGATAATTTTGTCTTTAACCATACTAATGCATGCATTAATAGCCTTTGTATAACTAATGTCATAGTTTTCTATGCATTAGTTATACATAGGATAATACTAAATAGGGTGTATAACTAATACTTGTATTAGTTATACATAGGTTGAAAAAGTGTACCAAACAAAGCATTACTAATACACAAAGTCAATGCATGCATTTTTTTCTCTAACGCACTCTACCAAACGACCTCTTATTCTGTGGGAATCCATTGAATCCACCACTTCTTCTTCTCGGGATCTGTGGCACCACTTTCTTCGTCAGCGTGTGGATGCACAACGTGGCAGCCACCGTGATGATGATGCCGGTGGCCACCGGAATCTTGCAACGGTTGCCGTCGGTTAACCGGAGCCAGCCGGAATATTCCGATCAGCTTGTAACCAACTTCTGTAAAGCAGTTATTTTAGGGGTTATATATTCCGCATCAATTGGAGGAATGAGTACATTAACTGGGACAGGTGTCAATTTGATATTGGTGGGATTGTGGAAGAGTTATTTTCCTCAAGAAAAGCCTATAAGTTTCAGCACTTGGTTCTTCTTTGGTTTTCCTTTGGCTTTGGTGATTTTCTTTGCTTTGTGGGCTACTCTTTGCTTATTGTATTGTAGGAAAGGATCAAGTAGATCTCTTTCTGCTTATTTGGACAAATCTCATTTGAAAAGGGAGCTTGATTTATTAGGTACTTCTTCTAAACCCTCATATTTATTTAATTTTTTTACACCCAATTTCATCCTTAATTTAATTTCTTATATATTCTCAGTTTTTGTATATAATTTTTTCCTTAGGGTTCGTTTGGTACGAGGGATAAGGAATAATTAATTTCGGGATTAAATTTAAGAAGAATTTATCTCATATCTGATTTGGATAAAAATGCGGTATAATTAATCCGGTGATTAGTTATCTGGGATTGTAGTATTTTTTAATCCTCATGGAAGGATGGAATAATTAATCTCGGTATAATTAATCCTGAAATAATTAATCCTGGGATAACTTCTTTCCAACGAAACGAGTCATTAGTTCCCAATTCTTCCCTCAAAAAATAGATGGATGCGAATCGAGGACGAGTTCTGTGGGCTGAATTGAACTTATTTTTTTTCAATCTTGAATAACTATGTATACATGTGCTAAGTGGGCGTTTGGACATAAGAATTGTAAATTTTTTAAAAAAAGTGAACATTTTTTTTCAAGTGAAAATGGTATTTGAAAATTAGAGTGATGTTTGGACATGAATAAAAAATTTAGTTGTTTTCTAATTTTTGTGAGTGATATGAGTGCAAATTATAAAAAATAGCTTTTGGAGTTTTCTAAATTTTCGGAAAAAAAAAATTGATCTTCATGTAAAAATTAAAAATTCTATAGCCAAACACTGATTTCGAAATAAATGAATTTTTTTCGAAAAAAAGTGTAAAAACTTTCACAGTCAAACGGGTTCTAAAAATATTTAAAATGTATACACTTAATAAGGTCATATTCGAATCAATTTAATTGACTGTCTATGCCACGAAGCTTCATCTCCGCTCTAGATTTGGTAGGCGTTTGCATCTTAGAGAAAAATTATGTCTGACTTTGCCCTATTTTGAATTTACATAGTTGCTGAACCTCTGGCTGAATGAGTTTTTGCTGCTTCGTTGGAAGAAGAAAGGGGGAAATTTTACAATGGTGTCTGAATTGAATTTTAGAATTTTCGTGGGAATTTATTGTGAAAAATGAATTTTTACGGGAATTTTATTGTGACAGTTGGTATATAAAAATTATTTTTATTATTCTTTGTGGCGGGTAGGGGCTTAGTTACGTTCTTATGACTGTGTTCTGAAGATTTTCTGGTATTTGCATCAAAACAGTGTGCTTCTATTTTTGATTTTTCGCATAATCTTTTCAATGTTAGTGGTAATGCACTGCATTCGACAAACCTCTAAATTGAAGTTTTAAATAATGAAGCTCTTGCAATCATTTTCAAGACTGAATGGGAAAATTGGCTTATTATGATGAACACTTTTGTTGGTTATTGCACATTCACACACGTTAACATAATAACAAATCTAATAGGGTCAAGGGAAGAGTTTGTTTTCATTAAAAGAATTACATTTTGTTGTTACTGGTATTCTACAGGTGCCTTAATTATCTTCTGATCTTCTTATTGAACTATCTTTTTCCAAATGGTTTATATCATTATATGGATTAAGTTTTTCCTGTCTTCCCTTGGATGGACTGCTTGGTCAGTAAAGTAACAGACATTTAGCTATATACATGGCCAATTAGTCATTAGTGAAGCCAGAGTCAATGAAGGTACTACTGGAAGAAATTGAAACCTTTGCTTCACGTGAAAGGGAAAATTTACTAAAAGATGAGACTTCCAAGAGGAAGAACAACTTGTTTTGTTCCCCGCCAATTCGTGACAAATTTAGCATTATGCTACTAAGGGATTAAGTTAATCCACTTAAACTTACTTGGGAATCTTGAAATGAATTAATTCTATAAAGAGATAGCTCCAAGAAATACTTGTTGCCCTGTGTCCTAATTTCAGGAAGCTTTCAATGTAACACGTTGGCTTTGCTTATAACCGGACAAATAGTAGACTTATCTTGCTTGACTACAATGGTCCTAAGATGCATGAGGATGAGGTTATTTGCTTGTTGATGTTGATGTGATTAGAAAACTTGGTGCTTACTGATACTTCTTTTTGTCAAGTCGATTCTTGCTTAGCCCATACTTCCAGAATTTTTTAAGTAAAATACTATTCACGGCACGTTGGAAATCTAAGTTTTTCTGTTGATAAAATATAGGTGTGACATATTTTTGCTGCATCCCAGGAAAATCACTTTTGTCCTAATGTTGGCATGTACTATTTTTGACTTACTAGAGTTTCTTAGCTGTGCTAAGGATAGTAAACAACCTCCTTATTATTTAAAAGTTCTCAAATAAGTTAAACTTGTTACAGTGCTATCTAGAATTTTGTTAGAGAACTCAGAGGTATGAATGTCAAAAGTATGTGGATTTTTTCTTTTACCATATGATGTTAGAGACAGAAAAATTGTAAAGTTCACCAAATTTTTCGTACTGTTTCTGTTATCTCTGACATGTAAAATGAGTCACTAGCTTAGATGAGTACTTTGTGCAGCTTTTTACTTCCTTTTTCTTCTTTTTTTTATCATTATTACATATAAAAGCTCCATTTTTCCCGCCTATTGGAGCTCCTCCGAAGCCTTTTGATTATCATTTGGTTATTGCTCAAGCTAGTATTGGTGGTTTGGTGTTGCTCTTTGCTTCTTGTGTTAATTGCAAAAGCAATAAATTATAATGGTTAGGCAACCTTTTTATACAGTTTGTTAAGATATACAAATTAATGTTTATGTTCAGCTGAATATTATACAAGGACTACTTTGGCCTTCTCCAAAAGTTTACTGAAAGCTAGAGCAACTTGACCAGTGGTGCAATATAAGAACTCCTCGGTACGTGCATACCAGCAATTAACCTGCCTTCAGTCTGCTTCTGTTCATCTTCTTTCTTTCTCCACTTCATCTATAGATTTCTTTTTATGTTAAGTTTACGGATTTTGCTGCTACTTCCGACATCACCGATTATTGAAGGTCTTTGTGTAGGAAACCTGGTGCATTGATTTGAGCGGAATTTCTTGATCTTCCCCCACTCTGGTTTTTTCATGCGTTGCTTCTGGGTTTAATAAGTCTAAGGAATCACCAATTGTTGCTAGATCTCAATTTTTCTTTCTTTCGCAGCTTTTCTTTCAATTTGCCTACTATGTGTTTGTGAAATTGCCTTCTAAAAGTTCATCTTCCCATGTCATATGCCAAGCTGAATCAGGATTCTCACTTATCATATAAAATGTCAAAACTGAACCTCCCATGAGCACACATTTGAATATATCTGTTGGATAAGATGGTATTAAAGAAGAAGTAACTGAAGTAGAAGAAATTTAAGCTATCTTTGACTAATAGTGCCATTATTCTGTCACAACAAGTTTTCAACTGATCTTGGAGTTTGAGAAAGCTTATGGAAACTTGTCTTTGTGGTTCTAGCTTAAAATAGAACTCCCAAATTCTGAAAGAGAGGCCAATATGTATTACAGTAGTCATTACCTATTTATCATTAATCACTAGCTTTGATAGAGCCTTGGAGATAAAGCAGCATATGCACTTTCCTTAAGAATGATGAGAATGAAGCTTTACAACTGATATTTTCTATACCAAATAAGGCTATTACAGCTACTCCCACAAGATTTCCTTTGCTCTTATGATTATGTATTTGTTGGTGAGCTTGTGGTTACTAACATCTTATTGATTAATAATTAGTAGTATTATAAATTTTTTACTTGGCCAAACAGCAAGAAGATGAGTAATGGTAACTCCACTTCACTCATAGAAAAGAAATGCATTAGAGAATGAAATAAGAGAGTCAAATTAAACATAAATGAGAAAGGGGAATCGAAACAAAGAGGTCTGTATTGGTTCGCCCTTGGGTTCTGCAAAGACTACAAGCATTTTCCTGAAGTCATCCAATGCTACCTGCCCTCAGTTGATCAAGAAAAATATATATAGAACTTTGTTACTCAACTGATAAGCCTATCAGGTAATTGCCACCAGCTTGGTATTGACAATCACTCAAATACTAAGCAAGCATGGTATTGTTCGAAAGTTTGTTGAATTTTACAGTAAATTTTAATGTTTGTTGTGATGACTATATATGTGAAATGTTGGTATTTGTTGTGACATGGTTGCACAACTTGCACAAGAAATTCTAAGGAATTGGAAGAATCAGTTGAATCTACTATATCAGAAAATGGTAACTTCTTGTGATAAACAATATACGTCAAAATACAATACGCTATTATGCAAACTGTAGCTATATAAAGTCTAGGGTAAATTAAGTTCCTAAATATTAGGGATTTTTATATAACTCATATAAGTAAAGATTTAAGAATCAAAATTTTAGTTGATTGCAAGTCTAATATATTAGTAAAATAGTTAATTAAATGAAGATTTCTAAATAATAGAAAATTAAGGGTGTATTTGGTATAACGAAAAATATTTTCCGTGGAAATATTTTCTTGGAAAACAAGTATTAATCTTACTCATTTTTTGGTGTTTGATAAGTAAATTAAGAAAAAATTATAAACCGAAAGATGAAAAAATAAAAACTGAAAATATATAAAGAAAAAAGCAAAAATTTCGGGGAGGGGGGAAGAGGTGTGCAGAAAAACGAAAAAATAGAAATTTAAAATTACAAAAAAAAACTTTTTTTGTGTGGGGTGGGCGGCAGTTGTGTGGGGGTAAGGGTAGGGGTGGGAGAGGGGATAGATGGTGCAGGAAAACAAAAAATATAGAAATTTTAAAATTACAAAAAAAAAAAGTAAATAAAACATTTTTTTGTGCGCGGTGGTGGCAGTGGAGGGTGGGGCTTGGCGGAGTGGGTGGTGGGTGGTGCGGAAAAATGAAAAAATAGAAATTTGAAATTACAAAAAAAAAAAAGTAAAAAAAAACTTNCTTCATTTTAGGTTTTATGACTTGTTCGCGCGGTCGGAATTAAATTTCGGGATATTCGGAGTTGATTTAGAAAGAAAAATCTCATTTCGGAAGCTTAAAGCTGAAAGAATTGGCTAAGGTTTGATATTTTAGTAAACGATCTCGGAATCAGGATTTGAAGGTTCCAACAGGTTCGTATGATGATTTCAGACTTAGGCGTATGTCCGGATCGGGTTTAGGTTGACCCGGAAGTGTTCCGGCGCCTATTGTGGAAGTTAGCATTTTGGAAGAATTTCATAAATTTGGGTTGAAGTGCATCTCAGTGTTATCGGTATCCATTTGGGATTCCGAGCCTAAGAATAGCTTTGTATGCTAATTCTGGTATTGGGGGCGGGTCCGGAAGTGGATTCGGAGGTCCGTAAGTCAGTTTGAAGTCATTTGGCTAAAGTTAGAAATTTGAAGGTTTTTGAGAAGTTTGATCGGAAGTGTACTTTTTGATATCGGGGTCGGATTCCGATTCCGAAAGTTGGAGTAGGTCCGTAATGTCAAATATGACTTGTGTGTAAAATTTGAGGTCAATCGGGCGTGATTTGATAGGTTTCGGCATCGAATATAGAAGTGGAAAATTCTAAAGTTCATTAAGCTTCAGATGAGGTGCAATCCATGAATTCAATGTTGTTTGATGTGATTTGAGGCCTCGAGCAGGTCCGTGTTATGTTGTGGGACTGGTTTGTATGATTGGACTGGGTCCCGAGGGCCTTAGGTGTGTTTCGGGGTGGTTTCGGATCATTTCGGGCTGTTTTGGAACTGCTAATATCTGGTATCTGGTTTTCTTCTTCGCGAACGCGAAGAGAGTCCCGCGTTCGCGAAGAGGAATTTTGAGGCTGTTGGTTTTTTGCCTTCGCGAACGCGAGGTTCAGGTCGCGAACGCGGAGGGGTCGCCTAAGGAAACTACGCGAACACAGAGGGTCGGTCGCGAACACGTAGAAGGAGGAGAGGACTTGGCCTGAGGTCGTTGGCCTACGCGAATGCGAAGGGTCTGGATAGCTGGCCTTCGCGAACGCGATCTGCAGACTGCAAACACGAAGAAGGAATTCTAGGGCAGAAGCAGGGTGCTTCGCGAACGCGAGGGTATTGTTGCATTCGCGAAGAAGGGCGGTGCTGGGCAGTGAGTTGTTTTAAAGACGGGATTTGGCCCATTTTCTTTCATTTTCTCTTGGCTTGGGCAATTCTTGGAGGGTTTCAAGAGGGAGGTTTCATCATCAATGGCAAGGTAAGCTATCCCCACCTATTACGAGTTAAGTACATTGATTATGTATAGATTTTAACATGGAAATTAGTAGAAATTTGGGGTTTTGGTGGAAAAACCTAGAATTTGTATTTTTGGATTGCTACCATGAATTTGGGCATGAAATTGAGAGTAAATTATATATTTGAGTTCGTGCAATTATGGGTAAAGTTTATCTTCGAAAAATTTCGAAATTCGGGCACGTGCGCCCGAGGGTGATTTTTATCGACTTTTCGATCGGGGTTAGAAATTGTAATAAATTAGATTATAATGAGTAATTGAGCATAAATTAATGGGTTTGCATAATTATTGGCTAGTCTTGGAGCATTGTGCATCGATTTGAGTCGTCGGAAGGACTTGAAAGCCGGTTATGGAACTTCGGAGTAAGGTAAGTTTCCTTTCTAACCTTGTAAGAGGGAATTAACCCCATAGGTGAAATAATTTAATGTGTGCTCCTATTTGTGGGGGTTACGTATGCACAATGTGACGAGAGTCCGTGCGTAGTTACTATTATGCTTAAGTCCGGGTAGTGTAGGACCCAAAAGTATGCTTTACTTTTAATATTTGGAAATTATTTATCAATTTAAAATGCTTAAATAATATTGAACTTGGTAAATAAACTTCTAAAAAGCTAAATAACATTTTCTTGACTGTTAAGAGAGGAATTGCCATTTTCTTGGATAATTTCCCTTTGATGAATTTTTGATTATTTGTTTGAATGTGTTTATCTTTTGTGGAACGGGTCGAAGCCTCGGTAGATTAAATAAATGCATCTATGGTTCGCGTCATTCGACCCTCTCGCAGTGCATAGTTTAAATATATATTGGATCGGGTCGTACGACCTTGACATGATTTGTGCATGCTTGTATTGCTTGCCTTGAAATTATAAATAATGATATTGCCTTCCTGGCCTGAGATATATTGACAATTTAGGAAATATGTACTTGGAAATCTCTTATTATCAGATAGATTGTTTACTTGCTACATGATTCCCTTTAGTTTACTACTGTTTTTAATAATCCACAACTGATTATATTATTAGACCACTAGTAAGTGTCGAAGTCGATCTCTCGTCACTACTTCTTCGAGGTTAGACTAGATACTTGCTGGGTACGCGTTGTTTTCGTACGCATACTACACTTAACTATGCATTTTTGTTGCACATGCACATGTATGTCTAGTGGCCTAGTTGGACACAGCAGCATGGTGGATACAGAGACTTAGGTGAGCTGCATCTCTCGAGATGACCTACAGCCAGCAGAGTCCCTTCAGATTATTATATTTCCTTTTCTGTCCAAATTTGTATTCCGGAAAGATGTTGTATTTTATGTATATTTCTTAGTTGATGCTCATGCATTTGTTACACCGGGTTCTAGGATGACTATGGGATTCTTCAGTATTCAAATTTGTTAAAGACATCATTATTTAGTCAGTGAAGTTCATTATATATTGTTTGATGTAAGGAAAAGAAATGATTTTAAAAATACTAAAATGAGAATTTAATTAACTTCTTGGTGTTGGCTTGCCTGATAGTGGTGTTCGACGCCATCACGACCTTTGATGGATTTTGGGTCGTGACAACATGGTATCAGAGCATTAGGTTCCCTTAGGTCTCACGAGTCATGAGCAAGTCTATAGAGTCTTACGGATCGATACAGAAACGTCTGTACTTATCTTCGAGAGGCTACAGGGGTTTTAGGAGCACTTTCCTTCTTGATTCCTCACCGTGCAGTTTGATTCCTTTGAGACTTATGTTTTCATTTCCTTTCCATTCAATCTCATGCGAGGCGAATCGCTTGTTATAAATCAGGAATTTAAGGAATTGTAATGGTACTACAGATGCGGTGCGGGATGTTTTTCCCTGCATAGTTGTTTGGGCTATTGTCGTCGCCTTGCGGAAGGATATTCTGTCATTTCAGCTCAGTAGCTGTACTTCTGAGAGCTTTGAGTCTATGCACAGGTTGCTATGATGCTCATGAACGGTTATCGCGCGGTATTGATGTGATGGTAGGGTGTTTGCCCCTATGTTGGGGCAGTGAATGACTTGAAAGGAGGTCCACTCAGAGCACGATTTAGAGATTCAATATTTTATTTCCGGTGAAGGAAAGGCAATCGGGCTATAAATGTCTAGGTTTGGGTTGATAGAGTAACGAGACTTGGTATTTTCAAGTATGGTGGAACTTTCATCTGCGGCGTGGTGTCATCGTCATCGATTGAATATGTTAAGTTCGCCGGTGTTATGATCTTCTACAATTCGCCTTTGGGGCAGGATACTGTGAGATAGTATTGGAGGAGCGGCTGTCAGAGATAACGGGGTGCGATGGTTCAGGATTGAATGGGTACTTCTAATGCTGACGGCTAGAGAAGGTAGATCTTCGGAAAGGGTTAAAGTTAGTAGCGATCTATCGGTTCAAGTGCTACAGAGATAGATATTGATTTAAGGCAACAACTAGGCAGTAAAAGATGAGGAAGGACATATGGGAAGTGTCTGGCGGTGGTTAAATTTCTAGAAGGTCAGGCGTAAAAAGTTAAAAAAATTCGAGTAGTTGCTTAAAGGAGTGAGTTTGACCAAAGTGGGAGAGTGGCTGAGTAGCATATGGGTTCAGTGGCAGGATAACTACACACCTTGAGGAAGAATTTAGAGTGATTTGAGAATTTAGTGAATGGTGATTGGGTCCACGAGCTTAATTTGAAATATTGGCTATTATACGGCGGGAGATTGGATGCAACAGAAAGGAGTTGCTTGATATGAAGAAGGATGCAATACAACTTGAAATTTGAAGATATTGTCGCACATTTAGTTGATGTCCATAAGGAGCGAGCGGACTAATGCAGTTGGTGAATGAGAACGGGCTCAGGATGGGTTATTGATGTCATAGTGATTGTACCCCGTGCAGCGACGTTGGAAGAT